CAGTGGAAATTCTTTTAGAAGTATTTTTTATTGCTCATATGAAGGTCGTACATTTTAGATGAAAATATTTAAGGTAAACATAAGTACGTTATAACGTAGGATAGGTTTTTGTGTCTTGCGACATTACCTGGTATGTAACGAACCAGTTAGTTGTTCAGAGTGTACATACTATTGTTCTATCTGAAAGCTTGTGATACTTAGCATTAGGAAAAGGTCTTGAAAAGTGGTATACTCCTTTAGGAGCCGTGGCCTCACTCACGTGAGAGTTCTGCTGCAAAGCTGAAATGGCGGTGTCCTGCTTTCGTATTATTCAACAAGAGGCTGACTTAGGGTCCTGTCACATCTTGGTTAATTGTTAATTGTCTTGCAGTGAGTTATGTTCGTATACAGCTATCGCTGAAGTTATTGAGAGTTTGCCTAAGTAGGAAGCAATGACTCAAGCTGGCAAATGGCTAATGGGAGCAGTACAGTTAAGGAAATAAACTTGTAACTTAAGACCATCCTTGTTTTATACTGATGAATGAATGATTCTGAAGGTTGGTGTACCAGCCTGGAAGTTTCTGAAGTTCTTTTTTGCCGGGGAAGCTCTTCAGTTCCTCGAAACAGCTGCCTAACTGGTGCACGCTTAGGGCCAAGTGAAATGTGTCCAGGTGTGGTGGAACTGGTGTACTTGCTAACGTGATTGCTCTCCTCCAGTTCCATCCTTCTTATTTGTGCTGAGCAGCAAACAGAGGCTCGAGGTTTTATAGACACCTTGGCCATTTTTCTGCTGTGAAATGTGGAAAGTAGTTGTGGAAAAAATGGAGGGGCTCAGCTGCTGCTTCATGTCAGAAAAAGGGGACTGAATTCTGTCCTCTCACCTTCCTGCTGCATACCACGCAGTGTAATTATGCAACCTGTGTACTAGGACTAGAACTTACTTAACATCATGGTGTATCTCTGCTGAAGAATTAACATTTAAAAAATGAGCATTCTTCTTGCTTGGTGTTCTTGTGACTTTTTTGCCATGCGTTCTACAGATTTTTAATTTTTTGTGTTCTTTCAACTATTGGCAACCGCTGGGAAGAGGAGCATCACGATTTCCAACTCTCCTTCCCTCTTTTAATGTAAGTTGTCAGCTCCTTACAGAGACAAGGTTGAGAGTATGAACTTTAAAGGCTTTAGGAAATAGAACACAAATAATTAATGCACACTTAGTTCTATTTTTAATCATATTTTTAAGCCAATCTAATGATATTTAGAGATGTGACTTGAGATTTTGTTGTTTTGATTACTTCAGTTGGCAAATGTTACGTATAAAATGTGCTGAAAACAGTTAAATAGTTAAAACTAAAATTTTCACCATTTTCTTCATGCTTTGGGATAGTTTAAAAGTATCAGATGTAAGAACAGGAGAGCAGAAAATGGAATAGGAGACCTTGTACCTGATGCTTCTTGCATGCAGTACTCTGACCAGACCTGCACCGGCTTCAAGGTCTTTGAATTTGCGGAGGGAAGAAGAGAGGAGGGAGGTATGGATGAACCTAACAGTCTTCTGGCTGTGTGGTGCTGTACAAGATTTCTTGCTTTTTATTTTTTTCAGGAGGTCTTGACAATATTTTAGTCATTAAAATACCAAGCAACTTTCATCTTTATTTTGAGAAGATACTGCAGTCACTTCAAATATATAATTTCTGTCAATTTATAGCTAAGGAAATCTTCCTCATTGGGAAGATATTCTAATGCAACACCTTTGGAAGGATATCTCTCTTTTTATAGAAGTCAGATGAGTCACCTCAGCCAGACAGTATGTTTTGAAAGAAAGATAAAACAGAAAATGTCATATTTCAAAATATTCTGAAAAATTACACTGAATATATCAGGAAAAATGTATTGTTATGTATTTCATAAAAGATAAATGAGGTTCATGGTGGCAGTTTAGAGCCTCCTTAAATCAAGAAGTCAGCATGAGTCAATCTGTTCTCTGTCTTTTTTAATATACATACTTTTTTCTTTATAGCATTGCAGTAAACAATTACATTTCTGTAGCTGTATGTTTTAGATGTGGAGGAAGAATAGAAACATAACAGCATAGCAAACAATAAGATCTTGTTTAAAACATAACTATGAAAAGATAGTATTTCTGGTTTTACTTCTGATTTTGTTGGGGAATAAGGTAGTAGCATACTGTGGCCGTTGCACTCTGGGCTCAAAGCTTTGTATCTGAGTACTCCTACATGTGAAATATGCCTGAGCTTTAAGACATTAAATCAGTTCTGTGTTTAACAGAGTCACAAATCCTCTCTGTTATGCAGCCTTTTTCATAGACTTAAAGAAAGTGGTACAGAAGTGAAAAAAAATGGATCCTGTCATGTTTGGCAAAGCAGTTTCGGCACATATTTCAAAAAGTAAATACCAGTTAGCATTGCTTATACTGCAGTGCCACCCAGGTCATTTCTGGTAGTCCAGAAATACTAATCACAGATGAAAACGTAAAAAGATCAAATGCTTCATCCCAGGAGAGACTTGCCCGTGGTAATGAGTATTACAATCTCTTCACTTGGTCTGCAATGGAACTGCCCATTTGCATTAACTGAAATGTTCAGAGCATGGACTAGCTTTTATGATATTTGTAGCCGTGATAAAGTGATTAAGATTTTATGTTTTGCTGAATTTATTACAACTGATGCAGATAGCTGGAGGGCCAGACATACAACCTGAATGGAATTAGTTATGCCCAATGAAAACCGTTAGGGCTGACATCGCTGCGTATGGGGAAATCCAGTGATGTCAACAGGCGTATTCTGTGCAGTGGTAATATAGCTAAGCTCATTGTTGAAAGATCACACAAAAAATAAAAAAGACTGTGCTTAGAAGAATGTTGCTCAGGTTGTGGATTTGAACCTGCAGCAATTAGGATATGCAGCTTTCAAAGCTGCCCGTGCAGGTTCCACTTAAATGCGTAGTCTTTGTGTGTGCCGAAGGTGTGTTTTTCCCTTGGTTCCGTCCTTTTGCAGACTGACGGGGTTTGCTTAAAAAGGGCTGTTTAATATTTTGTTTTGCCCTTAGCATTCATTATGTGGATCCACATCTCTCCTAATGCACATTACCTGGCTTTTGCACTGAGGGTAGAAGGATTAATGTCCTCTTTAGTTTTTCTGTCTGGTCTTTTATTCTCGTATCTGAGTTTTTCGCCGAAGTGAATAAATTACTTTTCACAATGCTCCTGTAAAATGGGAGCCAAATGTTCTTTTTTTTTTTTTTTTTTTTTTAGAAATGAGGAACAGAGGTGCATAGGACCAAATTTGAAAAGTATAAGGCCTGTTTGTCTTTATGTAGCATATATATAGTGTTATATGTAGTCAAAGCACACACTCCATTAGATCATATATTGTTTATCAGCTGCACTGGTGTCTCTGGGCCCATCAAATCAGCTCAAGTGATCTCTATCCCTTGAGCTAATGGATTAACTGATAGCAGCTGGAGGCTGTCTTTCTCAATATTGAGCTGGACTAGAAAGGAAAGGGAGATTGCTGATGGATTTCACATTTATTTGCAGATGGTAGTGAAGGAAGGTTGTGGTATCCTGAGTACCTTTTCAGGCCTTTAGCCTCTGCTCTGGCAGGCATAAATGCTTCTGTTCTTCCCCCAGCTGTGACCGCTTTAGCCTGATCCCATCTATTCTGTTGTTTCAGACCTTGCCAGGCAGTTGTTTCCTGTTGTTTTCTCCAGCTAGGTAGCGTCTGCTCCTCAGCCTCTTGTCCTAGGTCTGTTTGCTTTGCAACTCCTAGTCTCGCTTCTCTGAACCTCCTCTCCCCTCTCTGGTTTCCTTAGCTAGCTAGATCCAGCTCAGCATCTGATCTGTCTGTTCTCTCAGCCCGTTCCTGTTTGCTCCCCACTGCTCTCAGTCAGTATCTTCACTGGTTCATAATTTCAGTTTCTGTGTTTTCTGAATTAGCTTGCCTACCCTTTCTTTTCTCCTGTTCCCTTCTCTTTTCTCCCTCTTTCTGCTTTTGCAACCAGTTTTTGAGGGGAGTTCACAGCTTTCCCAGTTCTCAGTTCCTTTTCCTAAACAATCTCCCTTTCCTACACCCAAATTTCCTCTTTCCAGTGCAGCCTGCCATCCCAGTTTTCATTCCGTAGCTCTTTGTCTTTCCCATTTTTCTTGATTGTATTACAAGAATGCATGAGGGCTTTTAAAAATATATATATATATGCTCATGTAATGACATTAGATAGCTTCCTTTCAGCTCCTGGAATGGTAGATGTATAATAGAAATAGGCCCAACATAACCCACAGCATTGCAGAAGTCCAGCTGGAGTGAGAGCTGATCCCAGTCTACACTGGATCATTCCCAGTGTCTGAAATCTGTGAGCAGTTTAGTTACTAGCATCCAGAAAGTCTGTTGAACGTGTATGAACTGTTGTTTTTCAAAGACATATAATTTGACCAAATTGACTCATGAGTAGAATCTTCCAGATTTGGTTAACGTTCCTAGTAGTAACGCTAGAAGGCGTGAGATCAGCTTTCACTGTGTATTGCTTGGCAAGACATGAGGAAGAAAACTTGTTTTCACCTCTCATTTATGTGAACTACAATACGGTAAGCATAAATATCACCTGCCTTAAACCATCAGCTTGAATGCCTATGGTGGATAGTATTAATTACTACTGAATGGTAGATATGTTTTCATTTTATAGATATACTGAAGTGAGTTGGGAGGGATTTCTGAAGAGAAGCAACGTCTTACATGAAGTAAAAAAAAAAAAAAAAAAAAAATCTTGACCACGCTAACAAAACAGAAATGGCCTGTGGCATTGAACCTGTAAGTGCCTTTAGATTGCAGACAAGCAAGCGTGAAGGCAGAAAGATCACAATAAAGAATGCTTCTTGTCAATAGATGGGCAAATGACAAGGGACAAAATAAGTCATTGTTTTTGTAGGCACAGGAGAAGTGGAAGCTACAAATAACCAACACGGTGAAATTCTGTTACCTTTTTGTTTTCTCATTAGGTACATTGAAGAAAGTCCATCTCTGAGACGTATGACTATGATGAGGGAAAAGGGAAGGCGACAGGCCATTAGAGGCCCAGCATTCATGTTCAACAACAGGGGCACCAGTCTTACGGCTGAAGAAGAGCGCTTTCTAGATGCAGCAGAGTATGGGAACATACCTGTGGTGCGCAAAATGCTGGAGGAGTCAAAAACACTGAATGTCAACTGTGTTGACTACATGGGCCAAAACGCCTTGCAGCTTGCTGTAGGGAATGAACATTTGGAAGTGACAGAACTCCTGTTAAAAAAAGAGAACTTGGCACGGATTGGAGATGCCCTGCTGCTCGCAATCAGCAAGGGCTACATTAGGATAGTGGAAGCAATTTTGAATCATCCTGGGTTTTCAGTAAATAAGCGACTGACTCTGAGCCCTTGTGAGCAGGAGCTCCAGGATGATGATTTTTATTCCTATGACGAAGACGGTACCCGCTTTTCTCCAGATATCACTCCCATAATTTTAGCTGCCCACTGCCAAAAATACGAAGTCGTGCACATGCTATTGATGAAAGGAGCAAGGATAGAAAGACCTCATGATTATTTCTGCAAATGTAATGACTGTACAGAGAAGCAAAAGCATGATTCTTTTAGTCACTCTAGGTCAAGAATAAATGCATACAAAGGACTGGCTAGTCCGGCTTATCTTTCCCTCTCCAGTGAAGATCCAGTACTCACTGCTCTAGAACTCAGCAATGAACTTGCCAAGTTGGCCAACATTGAAAAAGAATTCAAGGTAACGGTGTTTTGGTGTTTCTCTCTGTCCTTGTTATTGTTTTAAAGTTGCTGCTACTTCATGATGTCCTTAGATGCTTGAAATTATTTCCTGTGTCTTTACTTTTTCAATTGCAAATGCTTTCGTGATATTTCTTGTCTCTTTTGTTCTTGATTTTGAGTTTTCAATACATAAGCCTTTAAAAAAGAATTTTTAATGAAGTGAAATTGTTTTTGTATCTACTGCGTATGGAGAAAATTGGAAAAAGGGACAGCGTGTATTCTGATAACCTTGCAGCAGATGGAAAACAATGTTGGTTGCTGTAGCAGACAAAGATCATTTTTAGTCACAAACACTGAGTAATGTAAGTGCAGAAAGCAGAAACGTTACGCTTTTCATGAGCATACTGCAGCATTGACCTTATTCCCTCTTTTTTATTTGTGCTAATTTTGAATGATGTCTCTAAACTGTTAAGAATACAGAAAGTGGGGTTTTTTTATGCACCTTTTAGAAATGTCACTTGTTCAAAACCAGCTGTTAGAGTGATTACAGATGTAGGTTCTGTTATCTGGTTTTGAGCTGTATCAGGTTTAGTATGTCAATGCCCTGACTTTTATCTAAGTTTCAGCTTCTCCATCAGACAATTAATGACTTAGTTAACTTTTGCCCAGTGCTTTTTTTTAAATTATTTTGCAGTTCTGTTGAAAAAAAAATCAAACCCCAGTAGACTCTGTGTAATAAGAAAAGCTCGGCTTGGGGAATGACAGATTGTTCTCAGTGAGTAGTGATATTAACAGCATTGCATCTAGTTTTAGCAAAAAAATGTAATGGGGTTCTGCAGGGTCAGTGTTGGGTACCACTTGTTTGTTTAATATCTTCATAAATGATCTGAGAGAGGCAAAAGATGCATTAACCTTTTCAAATAACAGCAAGCATTGCTAACACTGTGGAGTACTCAGAAGAAATATACAACAACCTGGAGAAATATAGGCAGAAGTTAATAAAGTGAGCTTTACCAGAAGAGGAAGAAACAGATTTAGACTCCTGAGAAAGAATAGCTCCAGATATAGCTGAGTGAGTAAAAAATATAATTTAAAAATTAGGTTTCAGTGCTGAGAAGGGTTCATGTATTACACCACATGCTAATAAAGTGTAAAAGTCAGCTTAAACCTTTCCTTTCCTTCCTTTGCTGAAGAAACCCCCTCATACCATGCTCCGTATTGTGTAATTTGGCAAATGGAATGAGTACTTCCGCAATGTATTTATTGAGGAGTATAGAAAAAATGACAGATTTTTCTTTTTCCTCTGCTGAAAAAGTACTGAACTGGGAAAGCTCTTTGTGAACATAAAATGGAAGAATTAGAATTTTATCATATGCACGGAGCCTGTTGGCTTGTGTGCTTCACACAATGAATTACAGTTGTGTGCCTCATTTAGAGGCCATTATAGAAGGTTAAATCTCTGATGTGTATAACTCAGTCCTGTTTATCATTGATTTTTTTTCAACTAGGCCAACAACCTGAGAGCCACAGGGTCTCCAGAATCGTGTGCCCAAGATGGAGATATATGGGGTTTCTGAATAACATTTCGGTGGTTGTGGATACAAACCTTTTTTTCTTCTTCTTTTTTTTTTTTTCCTCCTGCAGTTTCTTAAAGAGAACTTTTCTTCTGGGTTGGCACCTCAGAAACTACTATCCATCTTTTTCTTTGTGATACTGCGTACAAATTTTGTTATTATACCTGTGTTCAGAAACACTGGTGGGCTTAGGGACTCAATTTAAGTGTTATGCAACTCCCTAGGAACCCAAAATACAATCTCTGCCACCAAAAGCTAAATTAAGGCAAGCTGTATAACGTTTTTGTAAGGGGAGGATGTAGATTATTAGAACTGAATAGAAAAAATTCAGTAAAAATATAAATTCATGGGAAGCTTCCTGTATCATAGGTACTAATACCACGAATACGAACTTCGTCAGAAAAGAAATAGCTTGAAATTTTGGAGGAGAAAAAGCAGTGTTTTTTGGCTGGACTTCTCATTTCAAACCAGAACTTTAAAAAATTACTTCAGTTGTTAAAATATTAAATTGTCACAGAATAAAATATTCTGGTTTTCAATTTTTTCTTGTTTCTTTCTTTTCTTTTTCTCAACTGTTTAGCCTCTATTCATTGATATTTTGGGATGCCTAAGAACCCAAGAAATCCACTATTTTCACAGATTTCAGTATTTTTGGATAGCACTTACACGGCTGCTAACCTTGCCAGGTGTATAAGGTAATTCAGTTTTGGCACCTACAGTAGAAATCGTTCCTGGCTCCTTGCTAGCATGGAAATTCCAGCTTCTCATCAACATCAAAACATTCCAGTGAAATAATTATTCTCCTCATTGACCTCACATCTATCTCTTTTCCTTCTGATTCTTATGCGTCTCAGGGTGTTCTTTCTGTTTCTACCAAGCCTGGTAGGAGAGATGCTTGTTTTCCTCTGGCATCAATGGTTGGCTGCCCTTCCTGGGGAGAAGGGGTAGTGGAAAAGGGACGGTTGGAGGGAGGGAGGAGGAAAAAGAAGAGGCAAGGAATTTTTTAGCGTCACCATTAAACAAAGTCCAGGAAGGGCTGTAATTGCACGGCTGATGAGAAGACTGTGTATTCCACTGGGGCTGTGGGCAGGTGTGATGGGACTGCTCGTGGCATGGATGTAATACAAGATGCCGCACTGAGAGCTGTAGAGGTGGATCAAGGAGAAAGCGAGCAGCGCTTCTGTGTCTCACAGAAGTCCATTGTGAGAGCTTGCCACATTTGATGTAAGTCCGATTTGTAACCGTCTGTTCAGTGCTTTCTTTTCTATAGGTATGTCATCTGAGTGTGTTTTGCTAATAACTGTGTGCTTTGTCATGTCCCAGAGAAGAAGGCTTCTAGTCCGACATTCGCACTCCTTATGAGGCAGAATGACTGATAGACTTCTGGTGCACTCTCCTTTAGGATCATCACTGGAAATGCTTAAGTGTTCCAATCAAATTCAGTCTGTAGCACAACACTGAGCAGAATTGTTTCAGGGTAAAGAAAAATGGACAAAACAGTTCATATCTCACAGAGAATGGACAAGTCTGTTTAAAGAGACTTCTGATGATTTTTGTGATGTATTCTTAGTGTCTGTGGTACGTTAAGGCCCATAGCATTTCCTGTGCATGCTTGCAGCAGTGCACTTCCTGGATGTGGAGCACTCGTACAGAAAATACTTTTCTGGGTGGTTTTCCCACAGAGAAAGAGTATAGGGTGAACCTGTTTAAAAACACCTGAGGGCAAAGCTTCCTAGTAAGCGTTTGCTAAATTGAACCTTACATCTTTTGCATATGCAAAGTCCAGTCTGCTTCTATCACTTAGGATTTATACTAACAAATTCTGATGTTCATGTGCAAACCAGAGTTTGCACAAGTGTATTAGCAATGTGAGAAGGTGGCTTAGGACACTCACTGATGACAGTCAGTTCCCCATGGATATTAAAAAAATGTATTAATTACACTGATTTTTTTATTTTTTCCTTCAGAAGTAAGGAGAAAGGATTCAAAGAAACCAGCGAACCCTCATTTTTCCTGGAAGATACAAGACGTGTAGCCAAAAATAAGTACTGAAAAACGAGTAAAAACAGATGGGGAAACTGGAGCCCTAAGGACCATTTCACTCGACTTCTTTTGTCCTCAAGCTTCCTTAGTTCCTACTCCTTTGTGAAATCCTTGTTCCAAGCTCTTGTTGCTCCTTTTGCTCTTCTTCATCTATTTTATGATGTTACCCCTTCTTGTTCTTTGCATCCACTTGTCGTCTTCCCCTATTTTCTTCTATTCGGTTCCCTCCTTGGATTTCCTTTTTTTCTTGTCTCCCTTCTAAGTGCTTGTCTAATTTTCTTTACCTTTTTTGTTTGTTTTTTTTACCCCCTATCTTCCTCCCTTTAGGTTCTTTATTGCATTTTCTAATCCTGGTAAAGTATGGCTGGCTTGTCTGAACATGCTGGTGACTCCTCTTTAGGCCTTGAAACAGGGAACAGCAGAGATTATCAGTGCCTGGCTGTCAAAGCAGCAAGACATCATTTTAGTGGCCAGTATAGCAGCATATCATCCCTGTGGCCAGAGCAGTGTTTCTCTTACCTTCTTTGGTGACCCTAGTCCCCATTCCAGGGATTGACAGCAGGATTTCAGATGAAGTCAGAAATTTCAGGTTGTTTTATCTGAGTCAAGACTGCTACCGAATCATAAAAAAACCCCTTCACTCTTCCATACCTACTGCTATCACACCGAATTTCAGTCTCTTAAAGCAGCTGATTAGATTCTGTCCTGTCAGGTTTTTAGGGGTGTTTTATATGTAGTAGAGATGATTAGAAAGAAAGCAGCATTGTTGATGAAATTCTGTTTCTAAGATGCAAAACCAGAATTCTGCTTCGCTCTGGGCTGCTTCACCAATTTTGGTATTTATAAGGGCTTTTATAACCAATGTGCCTGGTCAGAAAGTGTTTTCAGAGCGTATCAAATCTGCTGGTTGGATTCCTTTCTTTGGTTGAAAAGGACAAAACCTGTTAAGTTAGAAAAAGTTATGGAGTGGCGTTCTACTGGCATCTGTCTTTATGAGTGGTTAGAGATCTCCGAGGTGTACTGCTTTGTACCTGATAGACTGGCTAGGGAAGCTCAGTCCGGAACTGTATCTGGTCTTAATGTAAAAAAGTGTTCATTACCATAGTTGGAGAATCATGTTTTCCAATCCCGGTAGCACCACAAAATACTTCACAATACAAATATTCCCAATTTTTATGTTTTCTTCTTGTTCTTTTTTTAGCAGACTCTGGCCACTGCAGCTGCTGTGGGTTACTAAAGTTAATTGATATTTACCTTTCTCTCTGAGAACTTTAAAACTGTTACTGCACAGTGATGGGAGAATTTCTAGCAGTCAGAATGGCTGATGGAACTTTCCTTTGGAGTCACCGTAGAAAAAAAAGGGACAAGGTAGCTAAAAAGCCACGTGATAGTCTCTCTCTCT